CCGCATCCACGGCAGTGGCCGGTGGCATATCATGGTCATCTATATTCTTCCCCGCACCATGGTGAAATTGCGACACCTTCAAAAAAATTTAAAAATATATAAACATAAAAAAAGTTATAAGAAAAATACCTACCAAAACCCAAATCAAATAAACTAAAAGCATACTAACAAATTAACATAATAAAGAAATTAACAGAACACTTTAAAAAGTAATAAAATAAAAAATACACAAAGAAAGGAAAAAAAACCAACACATACAAAATATATATAAATTAAAATATAAATTAAAATAAGTAAACTAACCAAAAACAATATGTAACAAAACGAGGTAAAATTTTGAATTTTAAATGAAGAGGCGGTTGGCGTCTAAAATTTCAAAAACAAAATATATTACACATAAAAACTTAACACATAAAAAAATTAACACAACAAAGTAACACATAAAACAAAAAATTTAAACATTAACACAAAAAAATTATGTTATTCAACAAATAAATATATTACACATAATGTAAAAAATTTAAACACTAATTATTAACACAAAAAATTACCACATACAAAAAAATTAACACATATGAAAAATTAACACATAAAACAAAAAAAATTAAACATTAACACAAAAAATTAAACATTAACACAAAAAATTCTAATTTTCAAAAAAAATATATATATATTAGAAATAAAAACATTAACACATAAAATTAATTAACACATTAAACAAATTAACACATAAAACAAAAATATTAAACATTAACAAAAGAATTCTGATTTTCCAAAAAAAAAAAAAAATATATTAGACAAAAAAAAAAATCGAAAGTAGTGGGGCGCCTGGCCAGGACGCCCAGCCCCTGGTGGTGGCGTCTGCTCCGGCCGCCGGAACCAGGGGGCTGGCGTCTGGCCACGCCCAGCCATGGCGGTGGCGCCTCTGGAAAACGCCAAATCCGTGGCTAGGCGTCCAGGTCAGACGCCAGCCCCCTGGTTCCGGCGGCCGGAGCAGACGCCACCACCAGGGGCTGGGCGTCATGGCCAGGCGCCCCACCACTTCTGGTTTTTTTTTTTTTTAATTTTTTTTTTAAAACAAAACCTTGCCACCGTGAGCCGTCCTTTCCTCCGCCGTTGTGGCCGCCAAGTCCTTGCCTTGCCGCCTCGACATTGCCGTATTTTTGGGTGATTAGAGTGTGGGTATGGGTTAGATTTTTTTTTTAGGTCTAGGGCAATAAGGTTAATTCAATATAGATTTGTGGGCTTTATGTGGAGATTTGCGGGCGATGTTTAGCAATCCACATAAAATACCAGTGGAGGGTATGGGATTAGAGTAATAGAGTTTGTACAAGGAGAAAGTAAAAAAAAAAAAAAAAAAGAAGAAGAAGATTAGCATGACAATATATTAACTACTTACATTATTTAGGTTTAGGCTATACAACGCTTCTAGGCATTACATAAAATTTTACACATTTAATCCATAACCCAATCTTTTCTTGATTAAATTTTATTTTTCATATTCTTTGTTACTACGTTTTGATCCTTTGTTTGCAGGAGAGAACATGAGTTATAGTTTAGTATTGCAAGGCATTTAGAGTTAGAACTTTAGATGACATGTCGAACTTTTGGACCAAATTTGTGATGACGACAACGCCACCTAAGCTACATTTTGTTCTCCAGACTTCACCACCGGAGGTGTGTGATTTGCAAATGCTATTAGTAATGGCCGCTTAAATTTTAGGAAATATCAAAAACTAGTTATTAAAATACCACTTTTGAAAATAACTAGTACTTTTTTAAAAAACTTTTTTTTTGCAAAAAATAAGAAATTAAAAAAATAATAATAATAATAAAAATAAAAAAAAAAAACCCTAAAACCCAAAACTTTGGGTAGCACTATCCACTAATATTTTCCATCCAAAAGTTCTGTTGGCAAGCCCAATTTTTTTGTTTCCATCCAATTTGTACCTACAAATAGTCAATTACAACGCAAATTTGAACAAATAAAACCTAATTCTCAAATTTACAAATCTTAATCCCCCAAATTCACGAACCAAATCACCCAAATTTTGAACCCTAACTCAAAAATTAATAAAAGGAAAATTTGAATTTTAGTACCTCGAATATGGGGGTAATTGAATTTTAGTACCCATCTAAAATTTTATTTTAAATTAGTACCTCCAAAAACACAAAACTGTAGATTTCAGTACCTCCGTCCATGTTCCGTTAAGTTTTTCGTTAGTGGGGCCCATTTCTAATTATTTAATAATTTAATTTATTAAAAAAAAAGAAAAAACATTTTATAAAAAAAACTTAAAAAATATTAAAAAAAAAATCAGAAAAAAAACTCTAATACCACCAGCCACCCACCTTCCACCGGCGGTAGACCAACCCCGTGCCCAGCAACCTCCCCTCAACCTCCAGTCCGCAACAGTAATTTTCGGCACCCCACTGCCTTCACCACCAACATCCCGCAACTAGCAGAGCACCGCAACCCCTGCTCCGTTCCCACGCACCAGCCAGCACCAATTCCTCCGACGCCTTCACCACCAACATCCCGCAACTAGCAGAGCACCGCAACCCCTACTTCGTTCCCACGCACCAGCCAGCACCAATTCCTCCGAGAAAACCACCACCTTTCGCACTTCCAATTGAAGCCGTTGATCTTAAATTCCTCAGCCCTGATTTGGTTTCAGGGTAAGGGTGAGAGGAGTACGGCTGTTTGTGGGTTTTGGTATGGGTGTGGGTTGGGGTTTCGGCAGTTCGGCGACGGTTTTGGGTAGGGGAAAGGAGTTATGCGGCGGTGGTGGGTTGATTTGCTGCTGTTAGCTTCTCGCTGGGCTGGTTTAGGTGGTTGCGCTTAGGGTTTCGGGGAAGGGGAAAACAGGGAGGGAAAGGGAGGGGTGGGGTGTCGCGGCCAGGAACGAGGAAGGGAGGGAAGATGGTGGTGGTTGCGCCGGTGCCAGGGAAGGGGAAAACAGGGAGGGAAAAGGAAGGGGTGGTCGGCGCCGGTGCCAGGGGAATTCGGCCACCAACAGCCGGAAGCCAGCGCCGGCGGTGGTGGCAGTGGCTGTTTTTATTATTATTTTTTTAGTTTTTTTTTAACAAAATTTTTTCCTTTTTTTTAATAAATTAAATTATTAAATAATTAGTTATTGGGCCCCACTAACAGAAAACTTAACGGAACTTGACGGAGGTACTGAAACCTATAGTTTTGTCATTTTGGAGGTACTAATTTAAAATAAAATTTTAGATGGGTACTAAAATTCAATTACCCCCATATTCGAGGTACTAAAATTCAAATTTTCCTTAATAAAACTTAAATTCGATCCCATATTTAGAAATTGTAATTCAATCTCAAATTATATTAATTTATAAATTGCAATAAGCTAGATCTAGTGACTCCTTACTTTTCAATTCTGTCTCACTTCCCCCATATAAAGCCATGTAGTAGTGGAACGCATGCCACTCAAACCCCCCCCCCCCCCCTCCCTCTCGAGAATGGGTCTTTAAATCTTGTACCTCTATGGACGATCGTCTCTCATCGTTAAGTAGTGTCCGTGAAGCACCTTTTCTTATTGAATTTGACCCACCTGAATATGTCCTTCCCGTAACATGTGTAGTAAGAGTGTAAGATCGACTAAGGAGAGGCCTCCTTTTCTCTATTTTCTTAGCTTGTTTGCATGTGTCATGTGGCTCGTGTCATTTCCTTTTTCTTTGCCATTCTTTTATCTTCATTGCACGACTATACAAATCTACAATAAACAGGGTTTTTTTTTTTTTTTTTTTTTTTTGTCAAATTTTAAATCTTAACGGTCTGACCTATTATTGAACTTTAGCATAATCGCCTCCTCTTACATTGAGGCGGACCTGGTAAAGAACGACATAAATAACCTATAATGCACAGATGAAACCTCTGTTAGAGGGAAATACCATATATGAAACCTCATTTCCTCATAGTTGGACAAAGTTAATGAGTAATGACATAGATTAGTTATTAATTTGGCTCTTAACTTGTCTAGTACGCAATTTGATTAATTGATGTATAATTATAAGTGGACGCTAATAAAATACACAAACAAAAAGATGAATCTAAAGTGGACCCATATATATTCCCATATCGACGGACTAGTATTGCGACGATGACTAAGCTTAGCCCTATCTAATGTGTGTATCTACCCTTCCATGCATGCTTGTAATTCTCTCAACCTACCTCTCTTTATTTACTAAACAATCTAACTCATCTAATGTAACCATCATAGATACGAACTATATCAACCTTAATCGTCAAATTTACCCTTAATTAGGTGAACTCATCACATTATCATGCATTGTTGATAAGATAAGATTTTAGAAGACAAATTTATATACATGCAGATTGTTTACCATTCTCATAATTTATAACCATTTATCACACAGATCATAAGTATATAAGCAAAACTATTACCTTTTTACCTGTTTGATGTTAATTAATCATAATTTAACTACGTTTTTTTTTCCTCAAGTATATTGAATATTCTGAAACTATTATTGTGTATATAATCTTCATTTTTTTTTTGGACTTTTTGTAAGAAACTACCTCATAAAGTCCAAAATTTGTGAGAAAGTACCTTATTTAAAAATTGTTGTAAGAAACTACCTAATAAAATGTTAAATGTTGTAAAATACTACCTATGGCGGGATTTCTTCCGTTGACCAAACATTCTTATGTTGACCCACCTCTAAACATCCATGAAACCACCGCGAGGGTTGGTTTTTAAGGTAATAAAGCTATTTTCGAGGTGGTTTAGGGCTATTCCTAGTTAGTGGGGGTAGTTTCGGGCTATGAGATGATAGTTCGGTGGTGTTTTAAGGTGAGTCAGCGCTAGAAAATTTGGTCAACGGTGGAAATAAGGCCATAGGTAGTATTTTACAACATTTTATCGTTTATTAAGTAGTTTCTTACAACAATTTTTTTATCAGGTAATTTCTCACAAAACCTGGATTTTATTACGTAGTTTCTCACAAAAGGCCCCCCCCCTTTTTTTTTTTTTTTTTTTTTGGTGTGTGTGTTTGATGTTTACTCCGTATTAATTAATTACTACCATTGATTGGTATCAACAGTCATTATCCTTTTCCTATACGTCCCCTTGCCCTAAAATCCTACATTATGCACAAACGAATATATTCTATTCTCTATATATATTATCATTCTCCCCTCCAACAATATATCATACTAACTTCCAACATCTATCTCTTTCTCTACTCTCTCTTCTTTGAAAACAACGTAGGAAAACCTAAGCTAGATGACGGCTTCTACCAGTCCGGTTTCGGTTAATGGTAAAATGGGGGGTCGAACCCTCATAGTTGGATCAACCGGGTTCATCGGTAGGTTCATAGCCGAAGCTTGTCTAGACTCTGGTCGCCCTACTTATTTACTTGTCCGGTCCGGTTCATCCGCCTTCACAAGCAAGGCTCAAACCATTCATTCCCTTCAAAATAAGGGTGCCACCGTTATTATCGTACGCTCTCACTCTAATGCATGCTCAACTTATTTATTTACATTTATCTATAATAGTTATATATAAATACGTACTAGATTGCTAATTATAAATAAGGTTTACTTAATATTCATATTATCATTTTAATTATTTTAACTTTTGCCACCTTTGTAGAATATCTTTTTTTTTTTTTATACAACCACTTAAGTATAAACTTAATTACCACAAACACGTACATCTAGTATATTTATTATTACCAAACATGCATGATCTTAATACAATTAAGAGTATAATTAAAAATTGTTAATTTAATACAAGAAATAATTATTAAACTGTTAAATAAATTTTATAATTTCGTACCCCAAAATAATTTACCCGGCCCCTTAGTTAATTAAAGGGTAATGATATATATAGCCCTTAGGGTTATATATAAGCATTAAATATACTTCCTAAAATAGAATTAAGTTGGGAATTCAAGACAAAATCACGCACAAATCGGTGTAAATAATGTTACTTAATCCTCAATATTTCCTTTTTTAGCTTCTTATACATAACCCTTAGGATTATTTTTATCATTTTCCTTGATTAAAAACTACTCCGTATGTTATTCATGCTATCGAAAGTAACAATTATTATGTAATGATTAGTATGTTTAATTGGTCAAAGTTTCAAAGCTTCAAATTAAAACTCGTCTATGTGACTATATCACAGTCTATAATGGCTTTTTCGACATCAAAAGTTATTATTATTATTATTATTATTATTATTATTATTATTATTATTATTTAATTTGTAAAAGTAAATAAAACATGCAGGGGACTATAACGGACAAGAAGTTGATGGAGAAGATATTTGAGGAATATAAGATTGAAGTTGTGATTTCAGCTGTTGGTGGAGAAAGCATTTTAGACCAGCTCCAACTTATTACTGCCATCAAAGCTGTTGGCACTGTCAAGGTTATAATTTAGTTTTTTTTTTTTTTTCTTTATTTAAAAAAAATGAAAAAAGCAAGTGTAAAGGAATGATTTTGTGTTAGTCTACGAATTTTATTAAAAATTAATTACAATACCGTACCCCGTATCAAGTTTAATAAAGATAATACTACGTAATAGATTTCATCGATTAGTTTCTTTGGTACTAGGTCTTTTCTATACCACCATAACACACTATATAATGTCACAATTAATGAAAAAAACTACTTCGTATATTTTACGAAGTAGCGAATCTTAATTATATTATTATTTATTACTCTATATGTATAAACCAAAAAGTAATTAAAAGTTTGAAAAAATTATGTTGTAGAGGTTCTTGCCATCAGAATTTGGGCATGACATAGAAAGAGCATATCCAGTAGAACCAGGACTACAAATGTACAATGAAAAAAGACAAGTTAGAAGAGCAATTGAAGAGGCTGGGATTTCCTACACCTACATTTGTTGCAACTCCATTGCTGCTTGGCCTTATCATGACAATACTCATCCTGCTGATGTCCTTCCTCCTTTGGATCGCTTCCATATTTATGGCGACGGCAATGTCAAAGGTACCAATTAACATAATTTCAATCATTCATAAATTACTACACCCTTCCATCCGTCTCTAAAGGATTCTTCCTAGCTTAGTTTCGAAAATTTGCCTCACAAAAAGTTAAAACATGAGTTAACTTTTAAAGACAGAATGAGTATATATATATATATATATAATATATAATGGTTTTCGTAATTTCAATGTAAAAAATTAAAGACATGTAAATATTAAAATATAATGAAGGAAAGATGAAAGAAACTTTGTCCAATAGCTATAGACTATGTTTCTATATATAATTGCAATAAGGGTAAAAGCATTTTGCAATCACTGGTTCAACTTCTTGTATTTTTTTTATTCTATTTTTTGCTAAGTGTCAATATTAAGCTGTATTTATAATTTTGTAGTAGGTAGGCAGTATTAATTTGGTATTTTAGCTAAGCTCCAATGTTTTCTAGAAATTTAATCATATAATATTAAAATGTTTCCAAGGATGATTTTCTTGGAGGTATAGGTAGCTAGGTAGGTAACCAACATGTGACAAAACAAATTACGTTACTACAACTACTTCCTAAATAGTGAATAACTTTACAATATTTTTTTTTTAATAGAAAATAATAGTCACTTTAATTTACAAAAACTTACATAAATCAGTTTTATCAATAAAAAAAAAAATAGAAAATCAATTAAAAATTCAGACTTAATCTGCATAAGTAACCCACCCAGCTTTACAGGTGAAGAGAATAAGATCTAAGCAATATAATATAATCGAAATCTATCATTACACTTCCTACATTGATTTAATTAATTTTTACTTCATTTGATGATGACATATATTATTTTATATAGGTTTATATATTTTATAGTTTACAAAATCTATTTAACATATATAATCTTTGTTTTGATTGTGTTCAGCATACTTTGTGGCTGGTACTGATATAGGAAGACTAACAATGAAAGTGATCAATGATAACCGGACTATCAACAAAGCTGTTCATTTTCGACCTCCTAACAATCTCTTAAGCATCAATGAGCTTGCTTCCTTATGGGAGAAGAAGATTAATCGTAACCTTCCTCGAGTCACCATAACAGAAGATGATCTACTCAATGCTGCTAATGGTAAGCTAAGATCACGCGACTAATCTTAAGTACTTGATATGGACAACATGACCGTGACTAATTTCATAACGCGATTTATTGTTTGTAATGCTAGAAATGAGGATCCCTGAGAGTATTGTGGCAGCATTTACTCATGACATTTTCATCCAAGGCTGTCAAATAAATTTTGCATTGGATAAAGCTACAGATGTGGAAGCAACTTCGCTGTATCCTGATACACCCTTTCGGTCCATTGATGAGTGTTTCGATGATTTTGTATCAGCTGTTATTGATGAGCGTGTAATGGCTGAAAAACCAGCAAGTGGAAGTTCTGAAGGCATAAAACTGCCTGTGTCTGAGGCGTATGCTATCACCTTGTCTGTTGCATAGTCGCGTAGTTAAGCTAGCTATTAGCACGATTGTGTAACGCGATTATATAATCAGGAGTTAATTAATTGAAGCTGAGTAAGTCTATTAGTAAAGTTTTGATTCTTCAGAACAATTGAGTTGAATAAAGGGATGTTAGAATCAAAGAGGGATGTTATTGCCTACTAAACTTCAAGAGATTGTATGATTCTGTTGGAAGTTTGAAAACAAATTTATTGAACATTTGGTTGTAGTAATTATGATAAAACTAAACAATTTTAGTTCGTTTTTGAGCCGTGTTTGCTTCAAATATTTTGTTAGTGCATCGTTGTTTTATGAAGTGATCGATTCGATCTACCATGGAAGCAATTTTCATGGTTCATCCAATATTCCAATTGATGGTAAATAGGATGGTAGTTTCGTTAATAAGCTAAAGTTTGTAAGAGAAAAGTGCCAGCTGGAAAGTAATGTAAGGGAAAATCTCCAACGGTACAGTAACCAAATAACGGGGAATGAAAAATGAAGAAACAAGTATATCCACTGACCCAAAGTAATTTGTCCTCTTTAATTTCACCCAAAATGAAAAAAAAAAGAAAAAAAAAAGATTTTTTAGAAAATAACACCACAAAAAAGTCACGATTTGAATTATAACACCAAAAAAAAAAAACTTTTATTATAACACCACAAAAAAACCCAAAAAATTGATTTCACCACTACCTAACGGATTCTTGGATGGAATCCGTTAAGTGTGGTTTCGTTACCATGTCACTATATTATTGGTTAAAAAAATAAAATTAAAAAAAAAATAAAAACCCCAAATTTAACCCAGCCCTAACCCTAAACCAGCCCCACCACCACCACTGCCAATGCCGGCAGCCTAACCTCGCCACCGGCACTCCCTTCCCCTATGTATTTAAAATTATTTAATTGTTGTAGGATTTTGGTGGAGACGGTGTTGATTACAGTGGGATTTTTGTACATGATGGTCCCTTCGAAGATGCTCAACAAGCGATTGATTGGGCAAAACAGGTTGCAATTAGATCTGGTTTTTGTTTAGTAGTAGTAACTCATAAATCTCAGCGGGATGGTAGAATGGATAGCATTTTGAGATGCGACCGTTATCGCAAAAGGGAGGAACGAAATTTCAATACAGCGATTCGGTTTGATACAAAGCGGAAAGGTTGTGGGTGTGAGTTCAAAGTAAAGGTTCGGCAACACCAAAGTCGTGACGGTTGGGAAGTGCAGGGTTACTCTAAATGGGGGTATCACAACCATGAAATGATAGTATATGAAGTGGGTCATCGACAGTTAAGCGGCCTAAGTCCTGCTGCAAAACTAGTTGTCAAAGAAATGAGTGATGCTTAAGTTAAGCCTCCTAAAATATTAACATCTGTGTTAGAGAAATTTCCTGAAGACCAGCCAAACCGAAGACACATCTACAACGTCAGACAGAAACTGAGGTTTGAACGGTCAGAGGGAAGGAACCCTATTCAGCAGCTTCTACACCAGGCACAAGCACATGGTTACATGTTCAGGTTTAATTCTGATGAAGAGACATCGGAGGTGACTCATTTATTCCTTGTGCATCCTGATTGTACTGATATAATCAAGTCTTGGCCATCTGCGATTTTGATCGATTCAACATACAAGACAAACAAGTACAAATTCCCACTAGTAGAGATAATTGGGATGGCTCCAATGAACCAAAACTTTCTTATTGGTTATGCAGTCATCAAGGATGAGACGGCTGCGAGTTATTATTGGGTGTTGGAGAAGTTGAGAAACTACATCGGCCCTAATCTTCAGCCATCGTCAGTGATTGTGAGGGAAGTCTCTTTGCCCCTATAGCGGGGCTGTTTCCAGAATCGAAGCATTTACTGTGCACATGGCACATCAACAACTGTGTGAAAGTCAAAGCCTACAACCTTTTCAACAAGAATTTAGATTTAGCAGAGAGATTGGTAAATGGTAAGTGGCGGAAGATCCTGCAAGCTACCACAGAGGCAGAGTACGATCGGCCTTGGATGACTTTAGGGATGCGTACCAATGGTGTCCGGCAGTGGTAAACTATGTGATGCAGCAGTAGATACCTCACAAGGAAAAGTTTGTCAAATATTGGACAAACCAAGTTCTTCATGTTGGAAACACTACAACATGTAGATTTGAGAGCGCTCATAGAGCTTTGAAAGACTGGACTGATTCTTCCAACGCTGCTCTGGATACACTGTTCGAGAGAATAAACAAGGCTATTGATACTCAGAAGAACGACATCAAGAACTCTCTCGAGGACTCTAGACGGCGACATGGTATGATGTATTGCCATTTCATATTTAAGATTCTCCATGGTCATGTGTCACACTACTGCTTGGGGTTGATTCTGAGTGAGCACAACAGGATGAAGGAGTTGGGTGATGAAGTGGCTATTCGGTGCGGATGTGTTGTATCAGTGACTCATGGATTACCTTGTGCATGCACCATTTACCGCGTAATTACCCAAGATAGGGCGTCGTTATATGTTGATCAGGTTCATCCATTCTGGCGGACGCTTGTTATTGGAGAGCATGCTGCTCCACAGACGGTCGACCGTGAACAGGAGGAGTTGGAGTAGTTTCGTTCGATGTTTGACCGAGTGTCCTCCAGTCACCCTTCAATCATTCGTGATGCTACCCACGTACTTAATGACATGTTCAACACGTCTTGCTTGGATCACGAGGAACCTGAAGGGGTCGAGCGACCTAGAGATCGACAACAGCGGAATAGTGTGTTTAAGTACATTTGTGGTCGTGGTCGTGGCCGTGGTCGTTCATCGTCATCCGGTCGTAGCCAATCTTCTTCGTTGGTGAATATGCCCAGAACCGGTGCAGTATTTTACTTTCATTTACTTTTTGGGAATGTTTGTTGAGTTTTTACTGTTGACTTGTTAATTGTGTTTATTAATATGTTCAACAGGAAGAGTAGATATTGATCAGTTTCCATATAAGGACAGGATTCCTAACATCATCATGGAATACTTTGATGGGTGGAATGATGTGGTTGCAAATGGTAACTGTGGATTCCGGGTCGTGGCTGATGTGTTTCAGATGGGTGAAAACAACTACGCTTTAGTGCGTCAGTTGATGTACAGTGAAATTGCCTCAAACCGAGATGTTTATCGTCATGTGTACGGCCAAGACTTGGATAGTTCTCTACGGCATATCCGGTGGGAAGGAGGACCTTGCGTCAAAATCATTGGTTCGACGCGCCACTTGATCTCTTTGTCGTTGAAAACATCTACAAGTGTGCAGTCATGCATTTCGGGCTTGGTTTGCATAGTCGAGTTTATTTTCCATGTACCACGGTTCTCCCTTGATCTTTGCATGAGACCGTCACTAGACCGGTAAGAGAGTTAGCCATTGCATTTCTGAGGTCGTCATACAGACATTTCATCCGATTGGACCTGTCATCCGATTTTCCAGTGCCACTGATCATACCTCGGTAGTACACCATTTGCACACCAAGCGTAGAGGGTTGGGATGTGTTGTATCATAACCGGATCCATCAATGAAACAACCTAGTTGCCTTCTAGTTTTTCATGCGTATACCTTTTCTATGTAACCTTGTATTTGTGTTGCTATTTTTATACAGACATTTATTTTTTTATTCTAATTTTGACTAAATTTATATCTTGCATGCATACTAATTAGTATTTGCGCGGTTACAAACTACAAAGATAATGCCAAATTTTAAAAACTTAAAATGATAATGTCAAATGTTACAAACTTAAACGATAATGTCAGATTTTACAAATTACTATAATAATGTACAAAATGTTCAATACATAAACTGCCAACAGATCAGTAATCCCTCTTTGACGCCCACTGCCACTGCGCAAGGGCCCGGTCCAAATCGTCAACAACAGCTCTACCTGATGCAGTCGTCATGTTGTCCCTCTCCTAAGAGAGTCTTTGTCCCACCTGCATCATCTATCCCATCCACTACACACAACAAAAAAACATGAAATTCAATAACGATATATAATACTAAAAAAAAACACAACAATAAATGTTTTTATGAGACATACCGCATCCACGGCAGTGGGCGGTGGCACATCATGATCATCGGCGTCGTCGCCATAGTCGAGGTCTATGATCAACCTCGGGTGCGAATATCGGCTGTACCATTCCATGTAGTGGTGGTCACACATGGGAGGCACTCCAGTTGGCGGCCTCTGCAGCTCCGCAGTCCATAGGCGAGCAACAATCGGAAACTACTCCCACGTGGCAATCACGCTTTCCGGCCATTGGACGACATACTCCTTCGACAACGCAGATCGGACCGCCTTACTAGGCCATGTTGGTGGAGGAGGGACAACTTGGACAAATCCAAGCTGGCGAAGATAGCGTTGGGGCATGTACACCTCTACGATCTCATGATATTGAATGAGTCCCGTGTAGAGGATCTTGGGTACCCTATTATTAGGGTTCTGGCCGAAAGGCATCTAGTTCACCTACACATTTTTTCAAATTACTAAGATTCATATAATAAATGCATCACAATATAAAATTAGAAATAATTTATACACTTTACCTCTAAGGGATACATCCTGTCAAGCAATAACCGTATCGATCGGAGGCGGTCAACGAATTTCTTCTCGAACCGCGTACTCCACGTCCTGGCACGTGGCATCCCATCCCCAATAGGAACCGGGTCACGGTGTGGTCGAAATGCAGGAAAATACTCGTATATCCCAACGTAGGCGACCCCCAAGAAAACTGGCTTACTCTGCCGCGCTCACACGCGTCAACTATGTCGCGTGGCCTGAGCTTGTCCGCTCTTATCCGGAAACAAGGTACACCCGAGGAGAAGAAAAACATATGCAACCAGCTGTGCGTCATGCGTCCTATGTGCAGTGGGGTGCAAACAACGCTGCAAGACAGATGCGATCTTCACACCGCCGTAATCCCAAACACCAAGCGCCTCGGTGTACAGCGCAGCCCTGTCCATCGCCAACAGCTCCGCCAGCAAATCTGTTTGATCCGCATCAGTCACAATAGAAAGTCGTTTTCCCTCTGCGCGAATCCCAAGGATGGCCTCGACATCATGCAACATGATCGTCATCTCACCGAAGGGAAGGTGGAAATAGCTCGTATCTGGCTGCCACCGCTCAACGAAAGCCGTGATCAGCGTTGAGTCAATCTTATCGTGCATGGTGGCAGGAAAATTACTCACTCTAGTGCCCTGCAATCGGCCGAACATCTCGTTCTCCTTCGGCCAAGCCTCAGCCCAACTACACAAAAAATTACAAGTTTTTTCCCGGATTTGGCATTTCAAAATGCCCGTATCCAAAGCCCTCTCTTGGTACTCCCAGATACGGGTAGCTATGTGTCCTAAAAAGCTAGGAATCACACTTCCGTCTACAGGTCCCCCAGCCACCTCACCCCTCACCACCTAAGAATCATTGACGGCCCTCGACCTTTTTCTACTTACCCCGAACACACTGGACGCAGATGATGTGCCAGATCTACTAACAAATCTACCGTTTCTACGCTTACGCATATCTACCCTATGCGTCTCATACATATCATCAAGCCTCTGAATGAACGGACCGTAATCATCATATGGTCCACTCTGATCGTCCACATCATCATCCTTCTCCTCCT